TGACCACACTGTAGATTTTGTTATGAGTTGCCTTTATAGAGGATTTATATCCTGTGCCTTTTAAAAAGTTTTAACCACTTTTTATCTTTTTATTGGTTTGAAAGCGCTTTTTACATATGATGAGTATTTCTCTGTTATGTATAAGTTGTAAATATTCTCCTACTCTGTTGCTTATTTTTTAACTTTTTTTTTCAATACTGGAGCTTGAACTCAGGGCCCACACCTTGAACCAATCTACCAGCCCTTTTTTTGTGATGGATTTTTTTGAGATAGGCAAACTATTTGTCCAGTCTGGCTTTGAACCTCCATCTTCCTGATCTCTGCCTCCTGAGTAGCTAGGATTACAGGCGTGAGCCCCCTCTCCCAGCTTAATTTTGTTTCATTGTGATTTTTGTGCAACAAAAGTTGTTAAACTCCGTGTATCAAATCTGTCAGCCCCTGTGCCATTCTTTTAATCCGAGAAGGATATTTGTTTGTTTGGGGACAGAGTCTTCCTGTGTAGTCCAGGCTGACATGGCTCTTTCAATCCTCCTGTCTCAGCCTCCCAAGTGCTGGGATTACAAGTGTGTGCCACCACACCTGGCTTCCAAGAAGGATTTGAAGTGCTTGGGGAGGGGAAAATTAAAGTGGTAAGGGCAGCAGTGTCCCCCAAGACTTTGGAAATAGTGTCACCTCTGAGAATGAGAGCTACGCCCAATGAATGGGGAAACAAGCATGAGACTGTCTGCAAGTGTGGGCTGGAGGCTTCAGAGGGATGGGGATTACTTCAGTTGTCTCAGCCTTTGTCACCTTCTTAACAAGGACAGTTCTTACTGTGTTAGGAAACCTTGCATCTTGAGGGGAGCTATATCTTTTCCACCTTCCTTGTAGGTACCTCTTGCATCCATGGGTAAGTCACAGAACGCTTATTGGTTTTGTTTTTGGTTTTTTTGCAGTACTGGGATTTGAACTCAGGATCTACATCTTAAGCCATTCCACCAGCCCTTTTTGGGGATGTGTTTTTTCGAGATAGAGTCTCAAGAACTATTTGCCCAGGCTGGCTTCAAACCCAAATCCTCTTGATCTCTGCCTCTTCAGTAGCTAGGATTACAGGCATGATGCACTGTTGCCTGGCAGTTTATTGGGTTTGAATCACAATTAAAGTAGGTATATCTTTGGAAATTTGGACTTTACTGCAGTACTGGGTTTGAATTCAGGGAGTTGCACTTGGTAGGCAGGCACCCTACCACTCAAGCCATTCCTCCAGCCCAAGAAATTTGGACTTTTGTATCTAAAACTATTTTTAGAGTGTTTTCATCCTAATCACCTGCCCTGTCCATGGGAAAGTTTAACTTAAAAAACAAGTGCTTTTATAAATTATGCTCCCAGAAGAAAAAGAGCTCTTCCTCTTTCTTGTCCTGGTGACAGTATTTAGCAGATGGTACTACAATTGCCCAAGTCCCCGCAGAAACACAGACAATTTCACTGGGAGAGAAATTAAAATGACTTTTAAACATTCAGAAAATGGCCGACTTCACTCATAATTAATGAAATTCAGGTGAATTCCTGATAAATGCAGGTGAAAAGACAAAATTAGCAAGTCAGTTCACATCCTGGGACAGTTGGCTCAATCAGGCCATCAGAGGGTGAGGATCTGCATTTCCACAAAGCTCTGGCCAGAAGGGAAAAGTGGATACTCACCGTGGAGGAAGGTGGTCACCACCTTAACTCTGTGATCAAGCTTGTCTTTATTAACGGTTAACAGTAGGACAGCAAGCCATGTGCACCTCCTGAGGGAGGTGAAGTGAAGCGCACACCACCCAGGAAGTAGTCATGAAATTCTCGCCCTCAAATAGTTTAACCTATCCTAGCTTATAAAAAATATAGGGTCGGGGGTGGGGCTGTAGCTCAGTGGTAGAGCAGTTACTTGGCATACAAAGGCCCTGGGTTCCATCCCCAGCAAGGAAGGAAGGAGGGAGGGAGGGAGAGAGGGAGGGGGAAGAGGAGAGGAGAGGAGAGGAGAGAGGAGGGAAGGAGGGAGGAAATCAAATATATATGAAAGTTACAAGCTAAAGGACACCACAATGAAGCAATCAAACAAATCCCAGATTAAGACATTGCACAAGACAACTGGCCCAGTCTCTTCATAGTCAATGTCATGGAGGGGAAAAAAGCAAGGACCATTCTAGATTAAAAGACACTTAAGAGATGTAACAACAAAATTTGTTGTACGATCCTTGATTGAATCCTGGTTGAAACCAGCTCTAAAGACATTTCTGGCAAAACTGAAGAAATTTAAATTTGAACGAGATTATTAGGCCCTTATTGTTAATTTTTTGAGAGTGAAAATTGTCCATTAAGTAAGAAATGCCTATGTTAGATATGAAGTATGCAATAGTTTATGAAGTATCTACCACTGAAATATTCAGCTGGAGAGATATTATGATGCCTATAATTTATTTCAAAGATTCCACCCCTCAAATAAACAAGTAGGATAAATTGTTGTTTATTTTTTGAGACAGAAGTTCGCTATGGTAGCTCAAGCTGGCCTCAAGATCCTCCTGTCTCCCAAGTGCTGGAACACTATATTTGCCCAAGTATCGAGTTTTTAACAATGATGGCAATTAGGTGATAGATATGAGTGTTTATTGAGTTATCATATTTGCTTTTTCAAATATGTTTGAAAAGTAAAAGGATTCCATTTTTTATTCATAGTTCCACAAAGAAAAAAAGTTAAGGATCTGCTGTGTTGGCCAGGATGCAGGGAAGTGCATACATCCCAGGTTGTCAGTGGGAAGTACAAATTCGGACCTTTAGCAAAGCTGTCCTCTGATGCAGCAATGCCACATCTGGGAATTTAACATGCAAAGTGTACTTGAGTGTGCACAATTACATGAATAAATCACCACAACTTTATTTTTATAACAAAAGATTAGGCACAGCTTATATACCCACCAATAGGAGCTGCTGGATGCATTTTTCTGTTATCCACATAGCAGAGAGTATATACTCTAGGCATTTTATGCTCTTAGGAAACTCTGTGATGCATTGCTAAATGAGCATTGCATAAGGCAGGCAATGATAAAGTCGTACTTATCACCAAATCTGTAGAGTAAAGTGCCTGACACACCTGGGCTCACAGTTAACATCAGTTGAGGGACTGAACACAGATTTGGACATGACTGCTATGGTACAGCTCAGGTTCAAGACAAAGAAACATCTGGGCGCCAGTGGCTCACACCTGTAATCCTAGCTACTCAGGAGGCAGCTATCAGGAGGATTATGGTTCAAAGTCAGCCCCAGGCAAATAGTTTGTAACACCCTATTCCGAAAATATCCAACACACACAAAAAAAGGCTGGTAGAGTGGTTCAAGTGGTAGAGTGCCTGTCTAGCAAGCGTGAGGCCCTTAGTTCAAATCCCAGCACTGCCAGAAAAAAAAAAGGGCAGATCATCTACCTTCTTTAAACACCTTAGGTCATACTTCTTGAATTTGCAAAAATTTCAATTTTTCCACAAGGATATGCACCATATCCTTCTTTGCAAATCAGTGCAAAAATCACTCTAAGGAGAAAGAAGGGAAAAAAATTCACAAAGAATGATGAAGAGAATTTGCTGAACCAGGGAGGCTAATATAACAACTTAGACTTAATAAAAAAAAATTTACTCCAAGCTTCCTGTCAGGCAAGGCAAAAAAGGGAAACCCATAGGACACAGAACTTCTGTTACCTGTAGAAGGAAGGACACCGATTCCTTAAGAGCCATGCTTATTACAGTGTGGGAAGTGATGTGCCCAGAGTCCCTAGTAGAAAACTGAGAAGCTTACCTTAGTCACATGCTTTGGAAGGATAGGACTCAACAATGGTGATGCCAGAATATTGGTACTTCCAAGTGATGTGGTCATCCTGATTCATCTAAGTACACTCTGTCAGATGTTTGCGCAGCGTCAGCATTGCCAGAGGACACATTCTCAGAACTTACCTTTCTCATTAAGCAACAAGCTGCTGTATTTGCATGTACTTTCTTAAGGTCTTCTGTATTTGCTCAACTTAAATTAAAACGTAATACCCTCTAAGGGAATCGTGAGTGCGTTAAAGAACTTTACATAGTTTCCATGAGTGCTCAAGACAGCTTGTGGCAAAGGCATTACAGGCTTTCTTTGGACTCCTCTGATTGTGTCTCAGTCCCCTGGGGCAAAGAGGTGACCTTGGACCAGGGGCATATGTGAACCTCACCTTCCTCGTCTGTGAAAATGATTATTGTGCAGATAAAATGAGATGGGAAGTGCTGGAGTTGATAATGGCTTGCAGGGCTGCTGTTTACATTACCACATGTCATAACTCATGGCTAAAAGCACACCCTGGAGCCACACTGCCTGGGTTTGAATCTCAGCTCCACCAGTTAGTGGCTATGTGACCTTTGGCAAGGTCACTTAGCCTCTTTTGCCTTAGTTTCTTTGTCTGTAAAATAGGCTAATAGGACTTTCCTGAAGGCCAAATGGGTTCATGGCTGTAAAGCCCTTAGAACAGTACCTGGGCACACAGAAATGCACCTGTCTTGTTAAATAATTCATAGCTTGTTCCTTCCTGTGCTTAGAAGCCCTTCAGGCAAAGAAATTGTAAATAACAGTTTCGAAGACAGCTGCTATTCCTTGTTAAAAGGAATAGATCTGTCTACCCTACCTGTCATCCTGGGAGGTCTTTCCCTGTTAGGCTGGAAGGCCCCAGCGCGTTTGTAATGGTGGAATCTTAGGCAGGTGACTGGCCGGCTGTGCGCTCCCAGAGGACGCGGCCCTGGTCCCCTGGATTCTCGCACCCTTCCTGGAGCCCCGGGGAGGCCCGCGGCTTTCCCGGTGTGGGGAGGGAAGGAGCCGGGATCCCCCTCGCCCCTCCCCCTCGCCCAGTGAGTAATGACATTGGCGGGGAGGGGGAGGGAAGGAGAGGGGCCGGCTCGGCGAGGCCATGTGATGCTGGGCGAGCAAGCCGCGGAGCCGCCGTCTTCCTCCTCGGATCGCGGGCTGTCATGGCGACCCCCAACAACCTGACCCCCACCAACTGCAGCTGGTGGCCCATCTCGGCGCTGGAGAGCGATGCGGCCAAGCCTGCCGAGGCCCCGACGCGCCCGAGGCGGCCAGCCCCGCCCATTGGCCCAAGGAGAGCCTGGTTCTGTACCACTGGACCCAGTCCTTCAGCTCGCAGAAGGTAGGGCCGCGCGGGGGTCTGGGGGAGGGGAGCCAGGGCTGGGGTCCGGGCCCCGAGAGACTGGAGGGAGCGAGAGGGTGTCGCCAAGGTTCCAGGCCGATGTCCTCGGAGGTCACTGACCGGCCCTACCTGGGCCCCAGAGCACAGTCCCAATGCCAGGAACAGCCATGCTGCCTCTTTCCTTTCCAAGAGACCCGTGCATTGGGGGGCTGAGAAGAGACAAAGGCAAGGGACAGCAGGCACTGCCGGCAAGCGGCCTGCTGGGGCTGCTGCGGTGGCAGGAGAAGCCTCCCTGGGGTTCAGCCTCCCTCCCTCTGCTGTCCAGCACACTGCAGGCCCCAGGGCAGAGCTCCGGCTCCCTCTGTCCTGGCCTGGATCTTCCTTTCCCTGGAGCTTGGGACCTCTGTCCCAGTCGTCACCCGCCTCCCCCTCATCTCCAGCCCCTCAGAGCTGTGTTTTGCTTTTAAAGGCACAAACCGACCTGTCCCCTTCCACCCCTCTCAGACCCAGGGCAGCTGAGGCAGGCAGTTGGGAGTCCAGCCTGGTGCGGTCATTGGGGTTCCAGCTTCCTCGGAGTGAGACTCGGGACTGCGCCCTTAAGACCCAAACACCTTAATGACCGCAATCTCCCAAACTGGGCAGCTGTCCTTTCTCTGGTGGGTTCAGCACCATGGCCAGAGCCCAGAGACCCGTCCTTGCTGAGTTCCTGGCTCTTCCTTTCCTTTTGTTTCCCTCACTCGTTTTCCACATGGAAAAAATAGATTCCGTGAAAGGAAAGGGTTTAGAACTGAAAGACTTGAGTTTGAGTTTCGGTCCAGGCTCAGTTTCATCACCTGGAAAATGGGCTGGTGAAAATAAGAATGAAAACAGTCACCTTGAACTCCAGCCCATCTTTAGGGTCCCAGGTTTAACTTAGTGTCCCTGACTGGCTCTGTTACAATCACTAGATGATCCTGGCTGAGACACAGCCTGCAGCCTACTGGATTCTGCCCCAGAGGTCCTGGTTCAGTCAGTCTGAAGGGCCCACACACTGCATTTCCGACAGGCCACCAGGTGATGCTGAAGAGGCTGGATCATGGTTCACCTTTGAGCCACCCCATCTGTGGGGTCCCCACAGATGGACCCCAGTGGGAGAGCCATCTTCTCCTCATGCACTGTGGAGCTTTGCACAAATCCTTTCGCCTCTCCAAAGCCTCAGTGTTCTAATCTGTAAAACGGGCTAACACGGTCACTTCTTCAAGGGCTGTTGGGAGGGTAAAATGAGATGATGCACAGAAAGTGCTGATGGTAAGGACTGGCAAAGGATCACAGCTCTGCTAATAATGGTGTTGTGATGTTGTGAAACTGCTGGGTAATGGGGTTGGGGGTGTAACTCAGTGCCAGAGCTCCTGCTTAGTATGCACAGGCCCTGGGCTCATTCCTACTGCTAAAAAAAAGTGCTAGGGAAAGGAAGGCCAAAGATAACCAAGGTCATCCTAGGACTCGTCCATAAGTCCTTCATGTACTTGCTGAGCACCTACTGAATGCCAGGCACTGTGCCGGGTGCAGGGGGGTGGAGGTGAATCAGACTGAACTCTGGGCTCCAGAACCTCTGTCGGGAATCAGGCCACTGTGTCTGGGACTGGACAGGGAAGGGGAAGGCATCTCCCTCCCCACCCTCTGAGGGAGCCTCCTGCTTTGCTCCTATTCCACCTGAGCTCAGGGCATAGGTGACATTGGAGTCAGGGATGGGAACAGTAACCCTACTTTTGTCTAAGTGTCTACCGAACTAGCCTGGACATCCTCCTGCCTCACTTGCCAGTGCCTCCCCCTGTTCATGGCCCCAGGATTCCAGAGGCCATGCAGTCTGGCAAAAGAGCATGGGTCAGCAGTCATGTGGTCCTGGGTCCCAGTCTCTTTTTGGCCGCTTACGGGTTGAGTGACCTTGGACAAGTCACTTCATCTCTCTGTGAGTCAACATCCTCACCTGGAAAAGCGGACTCCCTGCCTCCCCTGCAGAATTTCTAGGATTTTTTGTGCATGCTAAGTACCTGGCAGAAAGCTTAGTAGACACATTTCCTTCCTTCCTTCCTTCCTTCCTTCTGGCCATGAAGGGCCTTGCTCCCCATGGGGGGTCATCTGAGAAACCCAGCCTTAATGGCACAGGAGCTGTTAATAGCAGAAGCAGCCCACCCTCAGGAGCAATAGCAGCAACCCTGGACATCTGGGGACTGCTCCCCACCCACAGGGCAAGCAGGGTAGTGCAGGAATCCAGACCCTAGACCCCGGAGCCAGACATCCTGGGTAGCCTCCACCACTGAGAAGCTAGGCAATCCGCACATGCTACCTAACTCCTTGTGCCTCGGTTGACCAATCTGTACACTGTGAGTGATAATAGAGCTTCCTCCACAGGGTCACTGCAAGGAGGCTGCACAGAGGCCCTTGCAATCACCGAGAATAGCTTGTGGTGTATAGGAAGTGCTCCATGAGTTCTGGCTGTATATGGCATAAGCCAGACTCAAGGTCCAACCGAAACCCTGACATTCCCAGTGTGGCCGTGTGCAAACCTCTCTAGGTTGCATTCTGCTCAGCTGTTTGCAGAGGTGCCAGCAAAGGTGCCTCCCTTTGAGGGTTGTGAGGACTGAATGATGTCATAGGTGGTCAGTGGTCACACATTGAGCACCTGCCTTATGCAATTCTCAGACACCGTCATGGGGGATGGTTCAGGGCCACGGATGGGGTTTAGAGGACACTCTAAATGCCAAATGTAAATGTGAGTGAGCTCCTGAGGCCCTCCTGGCCCACTGTCATTTGCCTCTGGGGGCAGGAGCAAGATTGAGAGGGACAAAAATGCAAGCATTCAGAGAACCAAGATTCCAGTGTTGGCAGTTCCACAGTCCTCATCCTTTCATCCTCAGTTTCCCAGAGGGGAGATAAAATCTGCCTCACTTCCTCCCTCTCCAGGCAGCAAGAAGGGCCCTGCCTCTGTGTCTCCGGATTTTTCTGTATACACACCTCACACCTACCAGCTTTTTTAAAAACTAAGATTGCTACTTGCTAGCTGTGTGTCTTTGAACGAGTTATTCATTGTATCTATATGAGTTTCCTCTTTTGTAAACTGAGGACACTAGTAGGTACTAGGTATTCGTAGGGATTAGTGAGTTAATATAAATGAAGCTTTGAGCACAGTGCCTGGCACAGTGGAAGAGCCATGTGAGAGTTACCTACTGCTCTTACTGTTTCTACTAGAGCAAGATTCTGAGGGCCACCCTGGCTCCCTTACTCCATCCTCTTGGGTTCTGCCATTGTCATGGCTGGGTTTACTGGGAGCCAAGCCTTTGGTCCCCAGGAGTAAGAAACCCCAGGTGTGGATCCAGGGTCCAGTCCTGACACCCAGGCCCAGCAGGAGGGAGCAAGAGGTAGAGGATGACCTCTACTTCCTACCCTGGTCTTGCCTTTCAAACTCCTGGGCTCTGGCCCCAAGTCTGTCCACACTGTATTTTTATACCCTTCTGCTCAGATACCCACAGTGGCTCCCCAGTTCCTCCAGGAGAGACCCAGAGTCTTCACAATAGCCCTGGGAGTCCTGGCTGGGATCAGAACAAAGTCAGGGATAGCCTGTGAACCCTTCTCAGCATGATGTTTTTAATTGAATAAAATAAAATACATGATTATTAGATTGAAAAAGAAACTAGTCATATTGAAGTACAGCTATTGAAATATTTATAAAACAAGCATGATTGTAATGACGTGTGTTTCTGTGTTAACCTGTTATCTACCACAATGAGTGGCAGGTCTGATCACACCCAAGTACAAGTCACAATGCGTGCGCCATGCTTCACGGTACCTGCACCAACTGTGAATCCAAGCCCACACCACTGCACTTCGCCATCCACATTCCTAGTGAGCCAATGTCAGCTTTCATTGCTGAAAATAGACACATCATTTCCCATCTTAGTTCAGGGACCCTGGATCTGCTCATGGAGCCCTGGGTCTGGGAGTCTCCATTAAGACCCCTGCACTTGATCCTTTCTGCATTCCTCTCCTGTCCCCATCTACCCTGCTCCAGCCACCCTGACTTCTGAGGGCCACCTTAGTTAGCACTGTTCCTTCTCCTAGACTTCCAGGCCCCTGTGTGGACCGCTTCCTCACCCTGATCCAGCTTTTGCTCCAATGTCAGAGGCCCACCTGATGGACCACCATCTCCCTGATGCCCATGTCTCTGACCCTGTCCTACTGTTTTACCTGTATCTATCTGCCCCCACCAGAATATCAGTTCTCCAGGGCAGGGATCTGTTTCATAGTAGGCATTCAGTGAATACATACTGAAAAGCCATGTATTTGTAAGGTGTTAAATAAAGGTGTTTGATTCTATAAGCCTAAAACTACTCTAAAAAATAAAGTCTATTAATTTTTTTAAAAAAGATATTTGAGATCAAGAAGGCCCAGAGACTCTGAGTGCTTTTTACAAAGTCACACAGCAACTAAATGGCATCATATAAAAAGGTCCTGGTGAGGAAGAAGGCATCCCATTGTGACCCATCAAATGAAGCACCAGTGGGCACTTTGGCACCACAGAGAAGACAGTGGACCCAGGATTGACAGAGTGGTGGCCACCTAAGTCTGGTGGAGCGTCCAGGAGACAGAGATGGCAGATGGCCTTGGTGGCTGTGTGCCCTTCCCTTGGGCTTGGCTTCCTCTCTGGGCTCCCCTCCCCCACAGGATGGCACATGGCTCTGGCCTGCAGCTCAGCTAAAGGTGAAAATCTCCTTGACCAAGTGCCAGGGTGGCCTAGAGGCAGCTCCCCATAGGTTATGGTGTTTCTAAAGATAGGCCCCTCCCCAGGCAGCAGCCACACCTGACACCCTCACGGGAGCCCCAGGGCTGAGCCCAGAGAGTGACCCTTCAGGGAGGTGCCCTGCTGGGAGGGAAGGCCAAGGGCAGGGAGCTGGTTTGGTTTCTGTTTCCATCTGTTTGGAGGTCTCAGCTTGACCAGGAGGTTCAATGGCCTGGTGGAGCCTTAATGTGAGGCCAGAGGACATTGGGACAAGTGAGAAGGGAATGAGTTTTTTGCTCCCACCCAGTCTGGTCTTAATGCTCTGGGGCTGCTCCAGGGCACAAGCCACCCATAAGCTCAAATGTCACATCCACACAGGCACTCACTCACGCAAGGACACACACCCATGTGCACACACACTTCCACCATATCACTCATCCAATGCTTGAGTACACATGCACCTCCACACTCATGCACACACAGACACACACGCACGCTTGCCTACACGCCCCTCACACACCCAGACCCAAACAGAGGCCGCCCCCAGGCTGCTCACTCCATGCAGCGGTTCCTGCTGTCTCTAGCAGAACCAGCAACCCCTCCCACTGCCCACGGAGCAGTGGAGCCGCCAGGCCTCCTGCGGGGGCTGAGTGTAGTGTCTGCTCACAGTAAGGCTGCAGGGCGCTCCAAAGATGGAGTCCAACGCCCGCATTTGACTGACAAGAAAAAGAAGGCTCAGAGGAGCAGTGATAGTTCTAAGGTCACACAGCATTGCTCTGGCAGAACCAGGAAATTCAGTGTGTCTCTGCCTCCAGTCCAGGGTCTCTGTCTGTACCAGGAGCCCCTGCTGTGGAACTGGCTTTTGGCTAATGTAGCAAATGAATCTGTGAGTGAGTCTTGGAGGTCAGAGTAAATTTGCCTCTCCCTCCTAACAGTCCATCAAACAGAAGGGGCTGTTTTAAATCAGCTGCTAAACTGCTGTATGACTTTGGGTAAGTTGTTTGCCTTCTTTGGACTTTAGTTTTCCCATCAAAGACAATAAGGAAACACTTCCTGCTCTTCCCTTCTGAAGGGGGCCTATTGTGAGCAGGCAATCAGATGGGAAGGTGCCAGTGCTGGTGACTCACAGCTATAATCCTAGCTACTCAGGGGGCAGAGATCAGGAGGATCATGGTTTAAAGCCAGCCCAGGCAAATAGTTCATGAGACCCCCATCTTGAAAAAACCCATCACAAAAAAAGGGTTGGTGGAGTGGCTCAAGGTGTAGGTCCTGAGTTCAAATCCCAGTACTGCAAAAAAAATGGGGAAGGTGTCTACAGGCAACACCAGCTGTTTAGTGACTCTTGCAGCACTGTAACAAAACAACTTAAAGGGAGGAATTGCTTATGGCTCATGGTTTCAGAGGGTTCAGCTCATGGTCACTGGGTTCCTTGTTTCTAGGCCTGTAGGGAGGCAGGACATCATGGCGGTGGGAGCAGGTGGGAGGATGTTCATGGCAGACAGGAGAGAGAGAGAGAGAGAGAACTAGGCCTAATCTGCTAAGGTGCTGTCCCCTGGGATCAACTTCCTCCAGTCAGGCCCCATCTCCTAAAGTTTCTAGACCCTTCCAAAATAGCACCACCAGCTGGGACCCAAGCGTTCCCCAATGAGCCTGTGGGGATATTTCATATTTGAATCATAACATCATCTCACTTTTTCCCTCAAGTAATTCGAGAAGTTTACCTTTTGATTACATTGATTAGAATTTCTGTGAATTTCCTGGCCAGATCAGCCCTGCAGGCTGGACTGAGTGGTCCATCATGATAACGATAATTATGAATTTCATGCCATCTACGTGCCAGACAGGGATGGTACTATTAATACTCTCATTTTGCAAATGAAGAAACTGAGGCTCAGAAAGCTTCAGGAATTGGCCCCCAGTCCCACAGCAGGAATCCTCTCCAGGGTGTCCAGCTAAAACTCAGCCCCTGACCACCAGCCAGCACTGCCCTTGTCCCAGGACAGGACTCTGTTTTGCCCATCACCAAGCACCTGCCCCAGGAGACGAATCCCCTGCCCCCCACATGCCCAAGAATGGGCTGAAAGCAACAGTGTCCCCTCCTGTGTGTGACCTCTGACCTCCCTCCCCACACATCCCGCCCCACCCGGGCAGAGTGTCCCCTGTGTCCGCCCGCCTTCCCCCGCTCTGACCCTGGCACCTGCAGGTGCGGCTGGTAATCGCGGAGAAGGGGCTGGTGTGTGAGGAGCGGGATGTGAGCCTGCCACAGAGCGAGCACAAGGAGCCCTGGTTCATGCGACTCAACCTGGGTGAGGAGGTACCCGTCATCATCCACCGTGACAACATCATCAGTGACTATGACCAGATCATCGACTATGTGGAGCGCACATTCACAGGAGGTACAGCAGTGACTCCTGCCTGGGCAGGGTCACAGGCTCCAGGGTCCCCATAAGCTCAGACAGGGTCCCTGAACCTCGGCAAGCCTGGGGAAAGCTGCTGGACTATGGGTGAGGCCCATTGTCCCCTCCAAAGGAACTACAGGATACAGGCAGAGCTCAGATGCCCCCAGGAAGTACAGAGCCATGGGCATGGCCACAGACCCATAGCCCCCAACCTTCTCTACTGGCACTGCAGGGAGAGGGTGTGGCCCCGATCCTCTAGAGGAGTCGTGGGACTAGTTCCCTCCCCCAGGACCTCTGGAGACACAGGACCAGTCACAGATCCTCAGGTTCCCACAGACAAGGTCTGTGTCCCCTGGAGCCCTGTAAGCATGGTCGGGGCCAGATTCCCAGGAACCTCACAGACATGATCCCCTAGCATCCCAAATATATTATTATTATATTCTATATTCTATAGAATATAATATTCTATAATATTATATTCTATAGAATATATTCTATAATATTATATTCTATAGAATATAATATTCTATAATATTCTATATTTCCCTCCCTGCAGGTTCAGGAGCTCGCTGTCTATGGCAGAGGCTCAGGGAGCTGTGGAGAGGGGCCCAGGGCTCAGGCTTGTAAAGAATATGAATTACTTGCCAATGACTAAAAACCAAGGAGACTTAAGTTTTAAGCATCCAGGTTTCCACCCTCTCTGGAAATCAGGAAACACTGGGCCCAGATCCCACCTGGCCACCATCTGATGCTGAGTAGCTAGCCTTTTGAGGGACAGCTTGGAGGAGACCAGTGAGGAGAGGTAGCCACAGGGTCACTAGGATCTCTTGTCAGTCAGTGGCCCAGTTCCGGGAAGGGGTGGGCCAGGGACCTTTGGGTGTGGCATTTGGCGTTCTGGGGTGCTAGGGGCAGGTGGCTGAGACAGGGCCAATCACCCACCACAGTCCAGCCCTTGTTGGTGTCCTGCAGAGCACGTGGTGGCCCTGATGCCTGAGGCAGGCAGCCCGCAACATGCACGGGTGCTGCAGTACCGGGAGCTGCTGGACGCATTGCCCATGGACGCCTACACGCACGGCTGCATCCTGCACCCTGAGCTCACCACTGACTCCATGATCCCCAAGTACGCCACGGCCGAGATCCGCAGTGAGTGCCGGCTGCACTGTTCACCGCCCTCTCCCTCCTGGGCCTCTATTCCTGAGTCTCTTTCCTCCCCTCCCTCTCTCCCTGTTGCCTTGTTTCTCTCTCTCTCTCTCTCTCTCTGGCCTTCCATCTCTCATCGTCTCTGTAGTCTCTCTCTCTCATTCCCTCTCTGTGCTCTGCCCTTCTCTTGCCACCCATTCAGAGGCTACAGGGTCATCTGTCCTCCAGAGTTTTTTCTTGTCCCTGGGAAACTGGAAGACCTCCCCACAGGAGTGCCAGCTGTAGACTCCTGGGGTTAGGGTCCAGAAAGGCATCCTGAAGCCAGTGGCCAAAGGCACTAAGTGACCTCATGGTTGGGGTTACCAAAGAAGGCTGTCCAGTGGGGGCCCCTATATGTCCCCAGCCTGGTTCATCCTTTCCTGTCGAGCACTCAGTGGATGGAAGTTGGATTAAGTTAGATGATCCATCAATAGCTGCTCACCAGGATTTTGGTGTGGACTCTAGGGAACCTCGGGATCTTTTAGGTGGAAGAGACATGAGCACCTTATGGATCATAGGTGCTCAGTAAATGGCCACTTCTTTTCTCTCTTCGTCCACTGTCCCACTGATGTGCAAAGGCAGGGAGGCGGGGGAGTTAAGATCTCAGCCCTGTCCCTTAGACTCAGGATTTACCTATACAGTCCTGCCGGCCTTCAGTCAGCAGTACTTATGAGGCCCTGGGCAGGGTCTAGGGACTGACAGAGATGAACAGAGCTTCTGCTCTCCCAGGGTCACAGTTTCATGGAGCAAAGACAAGGATCAGGTTATTACAGTGCAAGACTAAGTAAGTTTGGACAGCCTCTCAGAAGGGTACAGTATATCAAACATCAAAAAGCCCACACCCTGGATATTATCCTGAGGTTCCACTTGGACATGGCACCAAGAAGTGTGTACAATGATATTCACTGCAGCAGAGTTGGTCATGGCAAGAAATATTGCTGGAAATAACCTAGCTGTCCATGGTTTGGGGACTGGGTAAATTAGTTATGGCATACTATGTAATGGAATACTGTGTAGATATTTTAAAATACTAGGCATATAATGCTAAGATATAATAATGAGTCAGAAAAAGAGAAGGGGAAAAACATGTAGTGCTGTCACTGACATACTAAAGAGGATTAAAAGATGTGCACGGACCCTTAGTGCAAGAGATGTTTCTGGAAAGATGCACAAGAAGTTGCCAGTAGCAATAGCCTTTGGGAGCAGAACCAAGAGTCTGCAGATAGAGAAGGAGGAGGTTTCCTTTTACTGTATATTCTTTACCATTGAGTTTTTTGTTTGTTTGGTTGGTTGGTTGGGGTTTTTTTTGGCAGTACTGGGGTTTGAACTCAGGGCCGCACACTTTCTAGGCAGGCACTCTACCATTTGAGTCACTCCTCTAGCCCTGTTTTGTGTTGGGTATTTTTGAGATAGGGTCTCTCGAACTATTTGCCTGGGCTGGCTTTGAACCACAGTCCTCCTGAACTCTGCCTCCCAAGTAACTAAGATTACAGGCATTAGCCACCAGTGCCCAGCCACCATTTTTTGAAATTTTAACAAGAACACACATAAAATTAATTAGTTAAAAGTTTTTATTGAGTTCCAGCTGTGTAATCATGGCAGCATGGAGTTGTGGGTCTGTGGGAGATGCCCATCCTGGCCTCTTGAGTCATGGCATTATCCAGGGATGGGTAGCTACGGCAGTCGGGAAGGAGAGAGGATGGTGTCAGGTCCTGGGAAGACTCATGCCATGTGAGGGGAGCTAAAGGACATGTGGTGTGGTGGAGCACAGCCCGAGAGGGTGGCAGGGGTTTTATGTGAGTCTGGGGACTGGGTCCAAAGAAAGAGGAATTTTATCCAGAGAGCAGTGGAGAAATAGTGGTGGGTGGCGACATGGACAGGTCTCACAAAGATGAGTCCCCCAGAGAAGAGCAAATGGAGCAGCCCAGAGGCCCTGGCTGTTACCTAAGTGAGCAGTGATGGTGGCCTGGCCTAGGGGCAGACACAGTCTCTGCTTGTGTGGACCTGGAAGTTTCCTTCATCCTGTCCTAACCAGGAAGGCAGTGAGGTCCAGAGCTGACCCAGCCTGCTCCCTCTTTGAGGCAAGCAGAGAGAATCTCAGGCCTCCAGTTCAGATGGGACGGGGGAGATCTCACAGGGTACAGAGGGGCAGAAGCCAGCCTGAAATGACACCCCAGTCATCCAAGGTCTTCCCTAGGCCTGGCCTACTCTCCTAAACTCTAAAGAGAGCCTCGTGGGCAGCCCAGGTGATGCGCAAGAGATAAGATGCTGTACTTGACCTTCACATTCATAAAACATCAAGGAGACTTAATATAGTCCCAGAGCTGGAAGGGCTGGGAGTGTTTACCAGGGACCATGTCAGGCAGGGCTGGGCGGTGGATAGGGAGACCTCAGAAGGTGTGAGATGCTAAACAACCTTGGTCACTCATTCTTTTGCTCATTCCATTCCTTCCTTCATCACCCACTGAGATCCTGTTCTGAGCTTTAAGAAAACAAAGATAAGTCTGAGTCACAGTTCTGTAGCACTCAGATTCTCTCAGGACAAATGTACATCCACAGATAATGCCATTCACATCAAAATCTCCATGAACAGCAAGCAGTACAGGTTGTGCACTGTGTAAGGTGCAAGGGGACACTTGTCACATAGACTACAGGTGAATGGCCCTGTGCCATGGCAGCTCTGATTAGTGTCTGCACTGCCTGGCAGAAGTTTGTAGAGTGTACTCTGGGGACAAAGGCACTGAGGCTTAGACCCTGAGATTCATGGAAGACTTCATGGGGGAAGTGATCTTCATGACCTGGAAGGAGGTTTTCTTTTCTTTTTTATTATTATTTTTTATTTTATCATTTTTACCTTTACTCACCTGTGTATACATTGTTTGGGCCACCTCCCCCCACCTTCTCTCCCGGCCTCCCGTTCCCCAACCGCCCCCGAAGAAGGTTTTCATGAATCAAGGGTATGATTGTTCAAGGAGGGAGAGGTAATATGAGTAGGGGTTTGGAGTAGTCACATTTAGGGAGTGGGAGGTATTTGGACCAACTGGGAGGTACCGCCCAGGGACAGGGACACAGGAGATCCCACTGGAACATGGAGCAGGTGAGAGGGAAGGAGATGGATCCCCCAGGCTCTTTGAAGCCAAGTAGAAAGCTGGGATACTATCTTAAGGCAGTAAGGGCCAGGGATGAGCTTCAAACAGGGAGTGGTGGGGTTGGGGACATGGTTGAGGAAGTCTCTCCGGGAAAGGTGGGGACATCCAAATCAGAGATGACTGGGGTCTACAGTAAGCAGCAGCCAAAGGCTGGGTGGGGAAGGTTAAGTGTGAGAAAGTAGGAGGAACTCATAGGACAGGGGAAGGATTGAGGTGGGGTGGGGTTGAGGACTCCCAGGCAGCTGGCTTGGGACTGTGGGGAAGGGGTGCTGCAGGGGAGGAGTGAGCAGGTGAGGCTCAGGTTTGGGATTCTATTCATTACTGGTCCTCATACTCCAGGCAGGCGGGCCTCTTACTTGTCTGTTCCTCATTGCATACTGGCCATGCCATGTTACGAAACACCTTTGTGTGTCTGTCTCCCCCACTGGCCTTTGCCTGGGGCACGGTGGTGTCTCATCCATGCCTGTGTCACAGCCTGTAGTGCCTGCTAAGTGCCAGCTGTTGCTCTTGCTACTTCTTGGGTCAATGTTTGGATGGACTGACTCCCAGTTGTGTTGGGAAAGGGACAGGGGAGGCTCCAGATATCAGGGACCTTTCTTACTCTCTTCCCAGGACATTTAGCCAACGCCACCACGGACCTCATGAAACTGGACCACGAAGAGGAGCCCCAGCTGTCTGAGCCCTACCTTTCCAAACAGAAGAAGCTCATGGTGAGTGGTTCCTCCCCCACCCTCCTTTCCGAGGAACAATTGGGGAAACTGGTTCTAAGAGGATCAGATGATGGTTTGACCTAGGAAGCCCACTGGCTTCTCTTCCAACCCTGCTTCCTCTGCCATTTACTGGCTGTTTGATTAGGTGTAAGCTACCACTGCCACCTTGGGATATTAGGCTCCTCGTGTCTTAAGTTGTGGCCCAAAAAAGCAGAGCATTCAGGTCCTTGCATAGGGAGGTATTGAGGTAGTGCTCTGAGGAGAACTCGGTAAGGATGAGGGAGGGAAGGAAAGAGAGAAGAGGAAGCAGCCAAGCCTTCCCTGATCCCATAGGAAGCTCTCAAGTGTGGCCAAAGGCCAGCCCTTCATTTCCCTGTATCAGTTGACCATTGGCTACAGACTACCTGACAGATAGAGGGGGTCACTTGCCACATATTTCTGGGCAAGGCATCTCCTCACTGGATAAAACAATTCTCTGGAGAAAGGACACCTGTGAGTTTCTAGCAACCAGCCCTCCCAGCAGTGGGGCATGTGAGCAAGCCAGCTCATGACAGGCTTGTGGGCAGGCCTGGGTAAGGATGCTTTGTGACAGTGGGGCGGGCCGTACACGTGAAGGGAGGCTGGGTGTGCAGAAGGAGTTTAGGCAAAGCTCCTTCCATCCTTGGAGAGTCTGACTCAGTAAGAACAACTCAGCCTCTGGCTCTTGGCCATTCTTCTACCTGTAGGCCAAGATCCTGGAACATGACGATGTGAGCTACCTGAAGAAGATCCTTGGGGAGCTGGCCATGGTGCTGGACCAGATTGAGGCTGAACTGGAAAAGAGGAAGCTCGAAAATGAGGGTGGGTGCCTGCCCGGGGTGGGTGGGGCTGCAGCCCATCTGCCTGCCCTACCCACTACCAGCTTCTTTTCTTGCCAGAGGTCTCAGAGGACCTCTCATGGTTCTCATTAGAGAGTCAGACCTAGGCTTAAGTCCCCCCTTGGCCACTTATTATCTGAGTGGCCTTAGATGAGGCACTCACTTCTCTGGACCTTGGTTTTCCATTAGTAGAGTGGGGATAATATTAGGACCTACCTCAGAGCTGTGAGACGTTGCATAAAATGGTGCTCACAGAGTGCTTAGGTCAGGGATCAGCACATGCATGTGTTTAGTACAGGTTGGTGAGGGGATGGTGGTGATGGTGACTGTCACCCACCACACCATCTCACCTTACCCTGTGCAAGAATGTATTAGGGCTCCTTCATGCTGAAGCCAGACATCCAATTTCAGCCAGACTCTCTGACCTTGACTCTTCCTGCAGTTTCATTCCCACCCCTGCACCTTTCTTCTCCAGCCCCTCCAGCCTGGACTCCTCCTCCCCACACCGCTCTGCTCCATTTACCTATGACACCATCCTTGTCACAGCTTTTGTTTCAGTCTCACTCTGTATCTTTCCATCTTGCTGTGTGTTCAAAGCCCTGTCAGTTTCATCGCCCCAGCAGTGCAAACATTTGGTGTGCATGCAACATGCCCTGCAACGTTCACAGCTCCTTGCACACGTGTCCAAGTGCACGAAGGCTGCAGGGCCGTGTCAGAAGGCTTGTAGCTGGACACATTTGAGTCAGAGTTTCAGCTTTGCTATGCGGACTGTGTGACCTGGGCCAAGTTGCTTTCCCTGTCAGAGCCTCCGTTTCCTCCTTGTTAAAACTTGATGGTGATAATACAGCTTAAAATCTTCACCTCATCTTGTTGGACTCTTGTGAAAATAAAAGCACCCACTGAGCACGGTGCCTGGCAGATACCGGTCTAATACGCGTGACAGCTAAAGGCAGGTGCCTTCTCCACATGAGAAAACCGAGGCTTGGAGAGATAAGTGATGTGCTCAAGGTCACACAGCTCATTGTTAGGGAATGAACATGTTCCCTCTCGATGGGTCCAGTGTTCTTTCCAGCATGAGAGATGCACAGTGACCCAAAGTCCTGACCAGAGGGACTTCGTCATCCACCCTGAAGCCAGCTGCCTTAATCCTTCCTGAAAAAAGCATGGTGTGACTGAGGGAGCTGATGCTAACACACACCTCAGGGAGGGACTAGTGCAGCTCTATCAGTGAGGGTGCCCACGGGAGCCATTACAGACAAGGAGGCAGCTGATCAGGCAACTGCCTTGCAGTCATCGGCTCCCAGGGCTTCATGCTTGCATGAGCCACACCTCCAGCCCCATGCGAGGCATCTTAACTGTGACATTACAACCCCTCCCAACCCGGACAGAATTGTAACAGAATCTAACTCATAGAGGGTGTAAGAAGTCATGAAGACTGCAAGCACTGGCCACATTTCAGTGTGTGACCCTGGGCAAAATGTTCTAGGAATAGCAGTTTTTAAAAGTCATTATCCCACCATTCTTTTTTCATTCATTTATTCAAATATTTATTGAAAACTTGTCATGTGCTAGGTGCTAGAGATAAAATTGTCAGCAAAGCCAGACATTGTTCTTGCTTTCATGGAGTTTACGGTCTTGGGGAAGAAAAAGACATCAGTCAAATAATTCCATGAGTAAACACAGAATTACAGGGATAAGTGTGAAGGTCAAGAGGAAAGTGTGAAGGTCAAGGGCTGAGTGTGTAGCTCAGCAGTAGAGTGCTTGCTTGGTATTCGTGAAGCCTGGGGATCCATCCCCAACACTGCACACACATACTAAAAAGTAAAATGACAAGCAAATTGTGTGAAGCTCGGGGGAGGTGATGTGCAAAGTGAGGTCTGGAGGATGAAGAGCCTGGAGAACCTCCTAGATGGAGGGGATGCCAAGGAGGTGGATAGATGGGGACTCCCAAGCTACTGTAGTGCATTGTGGGAAGAATGGTACGAGTGGGGTTAGAGAGAGTTAGAGAGGCCCAGGTGAAATGGCAGGTCAGAGCCTATATCTATGTTAGATTTCATAGGAAGTGATGGGAAATCCTTGTAGGGTTTTGAGAAAGGGATTGTAGCAGTTAGCTTTGCCGTATAACAAGCCATTCCAAATCTGAGCAACTTGAAAGAAGAACCTTTGATTTATTCATGATTTGTGACATGGCATTGTGGGCTGGGCTCAGCTAGAAGGCTTGTTTCTGCCTCACATGGCATGGCTGGCTTCACTCCTGCAGTTGTAACCAGTTAGCAGCCTGCAGCCTCACTGGCATGTCCATAGTTGGCTGGTGTCAGAAGGGTCAGTGGAGGTAATGGGGTCACCTGTGGTTCCTTGTCCAGCAGGCAAGGCCAGGCTTGCTCACAAGTTGGAATCCGCAGGGTCACCAGGGACATCTTGAGAGTCCTCTAGCCTCTGCTTAGGTCACAGTTACTGAAATCCCATAGGCTACAGCAAGTCACAGACAAAGCCCAGATGAAACCAGTGGGGTATATATATCAGATCAGCCTCCTGGGCACAGAGTAGTGTGGAGAAGGGGAGAAGGATCTCGAAAGGCAAATTGAAGACACATAGTTTCTGACTGGTGCTGGGGACCACAGAGGGACTGGCCAAGGGAATAGAGGACAGGGTCCTCCAGCATCAGCATCTGCGAGGGATGAAATGTGCCTGGAGCTTTGTGGCTTCCTGGAAGGGACTAGAGGCTTGTGTATCTGCAGGCTGCTATTTTCTGAATGAATCATGAGATGAGAAGGCCTGGGAAAGGGTTTAAGAGGTGAGAAAAGATCAAGAGACCTGCTGTTATCCCACAGGGAGCAGGGAAGCAGCCTGCTTGAGAGCTGCAGTAGTGGGACCAGCATTGCTGAGTGGCCCTGAATTCAAAGCTTATCTGGGCAGTTCCAGGGTGAGACTTCCTCCAGCAGGCACAGCTGGCAGACTCAGAGACACCCTTGACTGGGTCTGCCTAGGCCTGGGGCTTTGAAAAGGATGCATAGCCAGGCACTTACTAGCTGTAATCCTAGCTACTTGGGAGGCTGAGATTGGGAGGATCATGGTTAAAGGCAAGCTGGGGCAAATAGTTCGTGAGACCCCCATCTCCAAAATATCCAAAGCAAAATGGACTGAAAGGTAGAGCTCTTGCTTTGCAAGCATGAAGCCTGAGTTCAAACCCCAGTCCCACCTGAAAAACAGATGCACGATGGAGGCAAGGAAAGGGGGACATAGCAGGGATCAGCCCCCTGGAGATGTACCAGACAGCTGTGCAGGCCTAAAAACACAAATACTGGCAGGGCATAACATGACCAACACACACATGCTTATGAAAACATCTGCAGATAAGCAGCCAGATGCATGTGGTTATACACCGCACTGACATGGCTGGTAAGCCCACACTACATGGACACTGGTTCCCACACGTGAGGATGTCCACGTGCTATAAAGAATGAGCTGCACAGATTTGTGCAGGCAGATATGTGGGTAAACATACAGACCATGCCGGAGGCAGATGCACAGAGAGACCCACACACAGATCCACACAGAGTGAGCACGTATTGGAATGGACTGAGCATATGAGAAAATGCATGCAATGCCCACGTTCATTTGCATGTGGAAAAGACCAGCATAGTGGTACCATTAAAGCATAGGAACCAGATGACCTGGGGGGTTGAACTCTAGACTCTGATCTTCCATTTACCAGCTGTGTACCTTTGGCCAAGTTACTTAACTTGTCTGTGCCTCAATTTCCTCATTGGCAAGGCTGTTATGAGGATTAAAGAAACACCACCCCACTTCCTGGGGTGCCTCCTCCCCACAGCCTGCCTCTTCGGACCTCGCCTGTCAGTTTCTCTTTGTTGCCTGGTATCTAAGCCATGGAGGATATCAGGGCTCAGACCAGGACCAATTCTGAATGTAGTCTGTCTACACTCAGCCCTTTGCTGATATCATACAGTTTGTGGCTGGGGAAGTCCCGCCCTTGATCCTACCTCCTTTCTCTGTCCCTCACCCCCCATAATGCTCTCTTCCCCAGTATCTAGCAGGAATTCCTGATCCATCATCAGAAGCCCACCCTGGCCTGCACATCCAACTCCCCTACCCTTCTCTGGCCTCATCATACTCACTTTGCCAAGCCTCAGATCTGGGTAAACCCAATTGCCCCCTATGCAGAGGCTGGGCTTGTGGTCCTAAACTTACCCTACACATAGCTGGAGAAACACAGCAATGAGGGCAGGACTCATCTGAACTCTCCTTAGGTGACCTGAACACTGTCTTAGCCTCCCTCTGTCCTGCACTCCAGGTGGCTCCTTTGTACCATCTCTTTTGTCCTTTATCCTCCATGGCTTCCCCTCTAAGGAATCCTCGCTTGCAACTGATTCTTCTCTTTCTACGCCACTGAGGAGGTAGAAGTATGAGAAGGGGTTCTTCACAGCACAGGTCCCCATGACAACCCACCCCCCAGCAGGAGAGTCCACAGCACTCGGCATCTTATCCACTCTAAGATTCATCTGTGTTGGGCTGAGGCATGACTCAACTGGTAGAATGCCTGCTTAGCAAGCATAAGGTCCTGAGCTCAAATCCCAGTGCCGCAACAACAAAAATAAGATGCATCTTTATTAAATCCTGTTTAAACAGCTCTGAAACTGGAATGTTTCTTCCAATCAACAGTTCAATTATTCTCTTACTTTTGGGTGAGTGTCTTAAAACTGATGGCAACTTAGATTTGATGACATATGGTAGCATGCATTCCTTTGTCACCAAGAGTGAACTGTCCTTGACCGAACTAAGACTCATCCCTTCCCTAGAGCACTGGATCCCACTCACACATATCTGCCAAAGGACCCCATGCCAGTGATTCTATCCCCTCTTCCTGTAGTGTCATTTCTGCGTGTGTGCTGGGTCACTCTACCAACATACTCTTTCATTCCTCCAGATGTATAAAACACTCTTGACCTGTCTACACTGCTGGCCTGTCCTTCCTGTTACAGCAGAACTGCTGTCTCCAATTCCTCTCCTCCCTTCTCTCTTGAGCTCCTTCCAGACAGGCTTTCACCATTAGCCTTCTCCTCCAACTGCTCTGGTCAAGGTCACCAGTCTCTCACTGAAATCCCCAGTGCTCAGCCTCCTCTCATTTGACCTCTACACAGCATCGGAACATAGCCAAGCATTTTCTTCTCCTTCAACACTTAACTTGACTACAAAGACACTTCACGCCCAACTTGTCTCCCATCACAGGCTATGCCTTCTCATCTCCTTGCTTTTTTTGTACTGGGAATTGAACCCAGAGCCTCGTGCATGCTAGACAAATGCTCATCCACTGAGCTATATCCCCAACCTGCTGGTTTCTCCTTTTTTCCTAGTACCTAAATCTTGGAGGCCCCAGGTCTCGTTTTTTGATCTGTGCACACTTGCTTCCTTGCTGGAGTTGCCACATCCCTCCTGGTGACCCTCGCCTGAACTAGGGACTCCTGTCTCTATCTGCTGACTCAGATCTCCCCCTGGAGTCCATCAGGCATCTTGAAGTTTACTTATCCAAGAACAAACTGCTTTAATTGCACTATGCCCCTCCTGCTGTAACCGTGAGCACCCCGAGAAGATGTCCTGGCTTGTCATGTCTTCATGCCCAGCACATATCATCAGAAAAACATATACTGAGTGATGAATAAGTGAACAAGACATGTAGCAAGAGGAGGGCTCAGGATCTGATGATGGAGAGCTTTTTGCTTGTGGATTCCTGAGCTGAAAGGGAGGACCTGTCCTGCGGGCAGAGGAAAGCTCCCAAGGACTCAGGCCTTACAGGAAGTGAAGGCAGGGAGCATTCCAGACATGGGCTGCAGCAGGAGCAGAAGCCCAGAAGCTAAACTGGGCGTGGCTTGCTTGGGGGCAGTGGTGGGAACACGGTAAGTCATGAGAAGTCCAGTTCAAGACGTAGACTGGAAAGTCAGGAATGATGGTGTAAGCCTGTAACCACAGCACACAGAAGGCTATAAAGATTAAGAGGTTGAGGGTTTGAGGTCAGCCTGGGCTGTGGAGTGAGACCTTGTTTCCAGAGAGGGAGAGAGAGAGAGAGAGAGAGAGAGAGAGAGAGAGAGAAAGAGATTGAGATTGGAGCTACACTAACTTTTTTTTTTTTTCGGTACTGGGGTTTGAATTCAGGGCTTCACCTTGAGGCATTCCACCAGCCCTATTTTTGTGAAGGGTTTTTTCGAGAGAGGGTCTCATAAACTATTTGCCTGGGCTGGCTTCAAACGGCGATCCTCCTGATCTCTGCCTCCTGAATAGCTAGGATTATAGGTGTGAGCCACCTGCACCAGGCATATGCTAACTCTTGAAAGAGCTTTAAGCCAGGCAAAGGAATCTGGACTTCACTACAACAATATTTCACCAGTCATACCAGAAGGTTCTGGGGGTGGAGGTGGCAAACAGGTAATCTAGGAGACCAAAAGAGCTCCAGAATTCCAAATCTAAACAACTGGAGAAACACACTGCATCACTTGTTCCCCAAATGTACAGGCTCATCGTAGTGGACACGTGCCCATGCTGGTGAGTAATATAAAAGCACATAGTGAGCTGGTCTCTTCTCAGTTCTTTTGACTGTAGCAAAGGGAGTGTTGCTGTCATTGTTGGCAATAATGGCGCCGATGGGTTTCAGTTCTTACTGCACCCTTAAGCTTCCGTTTCCCAGGGTCACGGTCCTGCCTGCCAGGGTCACGGTCCTGCCTCAAGTCTAGCTTGAATCCTCCTTCTGACCCAACCTTCAATCAGCATGAACCATAAGATCCTAACCAATCAGATCATGCTGAGTCTCACTGAGGGGTATTTAAGCCCCTACCTCTCTCTCTCTCTCTCTCTCTCTCTCTCTCTCTCTCTCTCTCTCTCTCTCGGCTCTCTGCTCTCTCCCTCTCCCACCCGGCAATAAAGAATCTCTTGGCCAGATCACTCCTCTCCACGTGGTCACTTTTGGGGCCTATATTTCCTTACAGTCATGCTAGTCCTTAATCTGGTACAACATGTGTCAATCTCTGCCCCTTTTTAAAAAATGAAACAGAACTGCTCTTCGCTCAGAGTTCTGAGGGCAGACTCATCTGGCCTGAGCTTACTAGCTCTTGTTCTATTTCTGATGTGCTTACTTTTGTCATTGCAGCTCATGGGAAATGATACTGTTTATTTGTCAAGTCATTCACTATAGGCTTATTGAGCACCTACTGTGTACCAAGCACTGTTCTAGGCATAGCAGCAAACAAGACAGACCCAAATCCCAGCCCTCATGGAGTTTCCATTGTAGTAAAGGATGGCAAGCAAGAAACAAAATGAGGATGGAAGTTATGTGGTGCAACAATGGCGATAAGTTCTCTGGAGGAAAACAGCAGGGGCAGGGATAGTGAAGGCCGGAGTTGGGGGTTTCCATTTAGAATTGGTGGTCCATTGGTGGTTCATGAAGTAGTGTAAGGAGATGGCATTTGAGCAAAGACCTGAAGAGGTAAAGGAATGAGTCCCAAGACTATGTGGGAGAACACTGCTCTAGGCGGAGAGAACAAGTACAAAGGTCCTGGGGTGGGAATGTGCCTGGCATAAGGACCTGCAAAGAGGCCAGTGTGACTGGAGAAGAGTAAGGGAGCAGAAGTAGCATCTGAGATCTGGAAGATACTTGAGGCCAAATCACACAGTTAAGGCTTCGTAGTGCTTGAGGGGTTCCAGCTTCAACTCTGACCATGCCAGGGTATCGTTAGAGGGTTGTGAGCAGAGAGAAGTGACGTGCTCTGACTTAGGTTTTAACAGGATCTTTCTGGCTGTTGCATTGAGAAGAGACTCCAGGGGGCAGGGGCTGCAGCAGAAGAGGCTTTCAAGGGACAGTGTGATGATGTGGGTAGGACTTAACAATTGCTTGGACTAGCAAAGTGGAGGTGACACCAGACTCTGACATATTTTGAAGATAAAGCTGATGGGAATTGCTAACAGATAGTGGAGGAGGAAAGAAAGAATGCATGGTAGCACCGAGGCTTTTGGCCTGAGCGACTGGAAGGCAAAGGTGCCACTACTACAGTAGGGATGGGTAGGGTGGGCTTGAGAGCAGCAATCTGGAATTCTGTGAGGACATGTCCAGTGTGAAGTGCAGCATGAACACCCAAGTGGAGCTGTCAAAGAGGTAATCGTATGTGTGGGTCTAGAGTTCAAAGGTACGTGTTTGCACTTTAAAAGTCAATTGACCTAAAGAAAGTAAGAAAAGAGGTAGCACATAAAAGATGGCAGAAGTCATAAAGTCATACCAGTGACTCACACTTGTAGTCCCTGCTACTTGGAAAGCTGAGATTGGGAGGCCTGTAGTTCTAGCTCAGCCCTGTGAAATCCCATCTCAGTGGGCAAAAAAAGCTGGACATGTTGGCGTGCTCCTGTCGCCCCCGTGATGGAAGGAAGCAAAAGCAAGATGCTATTTCCAGAATAACCAGAGCAAAAAGGGCTGGAGGCATGGCTCAAGTGTAGAGCATCTGCCTAGCAAGCAAGGAGCCAGGGAGAATGAGAGAGAAGTGAGTGCATACGTCTGTTTCCCCCTTCAGGGCAGAAATGTGAGCTGTGGCTCTGTGGCTGTGCCTTCACCCTCGCGGATGTCCTCCTGGGAGCCACCCTGCACCGCCTCAAGTTCCTGGGACTCTCCAAGAAATACTGGGAAGATGGCAGCAGGCCCAACCTTCAGTCATTCTTTGAGAGGGTCCAGAGACGCTTTGCCTTCCGAAAAGTCCTTGGTGACATCCACACCACCCTGCTGTCAGCTGTCATCCCCAACGCATTCCGGCTGGTCAAGAGGAAACCCCCATCATTCTTTGGGGCGTCCTTCCTCATGGGCTCCCTGGGTGGGATGGGCTACTTTGCCTACTGGTACCTCAAGAAAAAATACATCTAGAGCCAGGCCTGGAGCTTGGTGTCTGACTGTTGGTGTCTCTGTGCTGTGTGCTTCCCAATGACTTCTCAGTAACTCACTGTCCTATTAACACTGGACAGCACTTCCCTGCCCCTTGTTCTGAGTAATTCTATTGTCCGTGTGACAACATTCCATAGTTTAGAAGTAGACGTTGCCAATGCTGTGACTTGAGGTCACAGCTCTACTAAAGGAGAGAAAGAAAGAGTGGGAGAGAGAAAGAGTGGGAAAACAGAAACAAAACACGAATGCCTTTTCTTCTGATTCAAGGTCTCGAGATGTTCCTGTGGGGACTGGTTAGGATCTGAGGTGAGTCCCAGGACATTCCATCCACCAGGGCCCAGGTTCTGGGAGGCACTGGGGGCTCAGAGGCCTCACCCTTTGCTCCCCTTCCCTCTTGCCAGGGACCTCTTCCACAGGACAAAGCCAACACTGAGACTCGACTTTTCTAACCAGTACTTCCAGCTGGGGCTGAAAAGCCAGAGACCCCGTGGAAGGCCCCTGAAGATCAGAAGGGGCTTCGTTCTTCTCCTGGACATGGACTGAGACAGCACTGGCTTGAGACAAGGCAGTGACACCTGAAACCTGGCCACGGCTGGGAACGACGCCATAAGCCCACCCTTCACCCCATCCTCAATGGTCACTGTGTTCTGTTAGGCACTTCTGTAGAAATCCCTGAAGTAGCAGTCATCAGCCACTCCTACCTTGAGTTGAGTTTCCCACCCTGAGTGGGGACTTTCAGCAAAAGCCATGTTGACCTTCCCTTAGAAGGTCAGTCCCAGCTCAAGTGCAGGGGTGGTTTCCTCTCCACCTCCTTTAATGCCCTCCCTTCCCATTATTCCAGGGGCTCCCCTGTGCCGCATGCAGGAGGGGGGTCTCTGTCTCCACGATGCTCCCAGGTCGGGTCTCACTTTCCTGTGCCTTTTGCATGTTGGGAAGGGGCCTGGGTGTCACTGCTGCTCATGCTTAGAAACCACGGAGAGCCCCCAATAAAGCCTCCAGGAGCAATTGCTTTTCATTTCTAAGCTGTGTCCACCGAACTCTCATTTCCAAAGGTGTGGCAGAGGGTGAGACACGTGAACATTCCCACTCCTTGTTCTGAGCGAGTCTAGTGTCAGCCTCAGTGAGAAAAAGCAAGAGATGAGTCAAGGTCTTAAGTTACTGTGTCTGGGCTAGCTTCTGGATAGACGTTCCCAACCCCTGACCTTGACGTAAACTCAGCTCGTGTAGGCACAGTGCTTTGCAGTTTACAGAGCAGTTTACAACCATTTGTTTACATTATCCTTAGCGGGTTCCCAGGACGCATAGTCCCACTTCAATTTCCAAGTGAGGAAAATGTGTTAAAATATGGCCAAAGAACATTAGAGAATAGTTAATGTGGAATGGGAGTGGTGGTACACCTCTGTAATCCCAGAACTCAGGAGGCTGAAGTAGGAGGATCATGAGGTTGAGGGCCTGGGTTACATAGTGAGATCTCATCAAGAGAGAAAGAGAGAGAGAGAGAGAGAATAATTTGTGGAATATAAGGCACAGTTTTATTTATTTTGCAAAAAAAAAAAGTAAAAAAAAAAAAACCAAAAGTATAAGAATTTGCACACGCTTTCATAAAGGTAAAGAGAAAAAAAAATAGCCAGAAAAAACACACATCAAGGATGGAACATGGAGACATAGACACTCTGGTAGTGCCCCCTATGAGCTGCCCATTCAAGTTGTGTGGAATGTGTCAATAATGGAACCAAAGCATTTGTCAGTCCACGTATGCAGTGGCTAGAGAAGGGAAATCCACACGTGGACACATTCAAATCTGGCAGTCCTATAGGCTGCTCAGTAAATGGTTTGGAGCAGCACACACATTGGGTATATGTGGTCTCCCAGTTCCAAAGTGGGCCACCAATTCTACTTGTCTTTCATGAGGAGGGGACATCTTGACTCTCAGAAGTATGTTTTGTCTATTTGACTTCTGGTGAGAAGGCAAAGACGAGTGTGTTGGGGGCCCGAGGATTTGAGCTGGGAGGATGTGACACATTGGCTCCACCCAGCTGCTGGAGGAGCATGGGCAGAAGGGTAGTACCCTGGGCACAGGATCCCTGGCAGAGGATGAGGAGGGGAAAATCCATGCACAAACTCCTGGAGCACATACTTCTAAGAGTCAAGATGTCCCCCCCCACATGAAAGACAAGTAGAGTTGATGGCCCTCTTTGGAACTGGGAGAGCACTCCCCCTGGGCCAGACTCTACAAAGACCCAGTCTCTGGCTCCAGGGAGCGTCCAGCCTTGGGCACTTAGAGAGGCTAAGTGATTTGCCGAGGATCACCCAGCTGAGGAGATGACAGGCCGGATCTGAATGTAGTCTGTTTGACTTTGGCCCAGTGCTTCCTAGTAACTCCAGACACAAGAGTCAGTTTATGCCCCCATCCCTTCACCCTGCATCGGTTCCCAGCAGCACGGGGTGCCCAGGAAGTTCAGGCAGAAGTCAGGAAAGGATAAAAGGCATGGAGGTGGAAATGGGCTACCACAGGTCATTTGGGCAGGGCCTCAGTAAGCTTGCTTCAGAAATTAAGATCTAATCCCAATCAGGGTGGTTCCTAGCCCCCACCCCACCCCGGGGCACTCAGACACCTCGGAAGCACATACCCTGGGTGGCCGCACCTGGCAGGGAGGGCGGCAAGTGGCAGTGATAAGGTTCCCAGCCCAGGCCCTAGAAAAGCGACCTGGTAGCATCAGGCCGTCCTTAGTTCGTCTGTGAGGATGGCATCTCCAACAGCATGGGTACCCACTTCACCTTGGCCAAAAAGACACCACAGATGCAATGTCCTTTCCTTTCAGCTGGAAAACAGTTCCCGCACTCTCTGCTACCCCCGGTTAGCCCTGCATATGATGCAGACTGTGAGAGACTCCAGTCCCATGCGAGAAATGGGGCACAAGGCTTTCCACCTTCACTGAGTCAACCAGTGAACTACTTCTGAGTCAGAGTTGAAAACATTCACATGTGTGGAGTTCTTCTTTCTGGTTTCCTGATAATGGCACACATTAAGACTTAATGTGCATGTGAGAGACCTTCACACAGTCCTAATGTCCTGTCCTGGGAACTTCGCAGTATTAATTCATTTAATCAACACAACTCTGTGATATAGGTACTGTCCCCACTTTACAGATGAGGAAACATGAGGCCCAGAGAGTTAAAGAACTTGCTCAAGGCACACAGCCAAGGTGCACAGCAGAACTAGGGTTGGAATTCATGCCTTTTTTTTTTTTGGTTGTACCAGGATTTGAATTCACGGCTTTGTGCTTGCTAGGCAGGTACTCTCCCACTTGAGCTATATCCCCTCAAAGCCAGAATTTGAACTCGTATCCTTCTCTAAATGCTTTCTGTAGCTTGTATCTGCCTGAATCATGACAAGGTCAGGGTGGTGTAATGGTCCGTGCTAGTCATCAGATTGATTGAAGTAAAAGACATTGGGAGATTGTAAAGTGCATCTGGGTGTGTCTCTGAGGGAGTTCCCAGAGATTAAGTCATGAGGGCAACAACAAGCAATGGTTTAAGTCACTGATGAATCCAAAATCTGAATAGTGGTGGATCCCCTGTTGGGAGGTGATGGAACTGTGGAAGGTGGGGTCTAGTTGGAGGACCGTCACTCAACCTGGAGGTTCCTGGAGCTTTGCCTTTGAGAATACCTTGGCCTGGCCTTTTCCTTTCACTCCCCTCTGCTTCCTGGCTGCCTGATGTGAGCAGCCTCTCCCCATAGTTCTGCACCATGATGTTCAAAGTAACAGAGCCAGCAGAGCTTGGACTGAAACTGTGAATGAAAACAAATCTTACCTCTCTTTAAGATGTTCCTCTCAGGTACTTATCACAGTGAGGTAAAGTCTGCTAACACAGGTAAGTCGGGCAAACACTCCATTTCGGACACTCAGGGTACTGTTGGGTGTTGTCCATTCTACCATCCTTGTTCAGCTAGATGGTAACCCACTGAAGGTAGGCCTGAGTCTCTGAACTAATGCTGCATCCCCTGAGCCTCACAGGGAGCTTAGTACACTCAGTGCTCAACTATTGGGTTGAGCTGCTGAGGGAAACGAGGCCCTATTAGCATCATCTTATACTCCAGAAATGGGCTCAGAGACCAACCTTATCAAGAACACACAACTAGTTAACAGCCCAATCTGGGCACCGGTTACTCATGCCTGTAATCCAAGCTACCCAGGGGGCAGAGATCAGGAGGATCACAGCTCAAAGCCAGGATAGGCAAGCAGTTCACGAGACCCTATCTCAAAAAAACCCATCACAATAAAGGGCTGGCAGAGTGGTTCTAGGTGTAGATCCTGAGTTCAAACCCCAGACACCACACACACACACACACACACACGAAAAAAAAAAAATAGCCGAAGCCCAGATCTTTGTGCCTCCAGACTCCATGGTTGATACAACATTACTCATTCTTCACAGTGGCTGCATTAGATTACTGACCTAGAGTTGCTGTCATTCATGTAATTGACTGGCATTTGGGTTCTTGACTTTTCATTCATGCAGACAACTGTAGCAAAATCTTTCTACAAGTGTTTCATAGTGCAAACTCCTACACCAAGAAGGGTGGATCTGCACACTTTAAAGTGTGAATACTATCAGGGCACCATCTAAATAGATGGCACCAATCTGCTACCCTCTTCCCCTAGGCAAAGAGAGTATGTGTTCTCTGTACTGTGAGTTCAACTGTAAAACATCCCAGGTACTATATTTGAGGTTGCCAGAGCCATTTCTAATGGGGTTTCTCCTAACAGAACCTACCTTCTTGATAGCTATCAAAAATGTTTTGATGCTGGACATGGTGTCACATACCTATAATCCCAGCAGTTGGGAGGCTGAGGCAGGAGGATTGCAAGATCAAGGCCAGCCTGGCCAACTTAGTGAGACCCTGACTCAAAAATAAATAAATGAAAAGAGTCGGGGCTGGGGATGTGGCTCAGGGGTACAGTGCAAGCCTAGCATTTGCAAGGCCTGGTTTCAATCCCCAGCAAGGCCCCACACCCAGAAGTTTTGATTTTGGAGTTTTTAAACTTCTACAGCTCATCACTCTGAGAGTTAGGTTCGGCAGGTCTGAATTCATCAGAGTGGCGTGTAGAGAGAGGGGGAGGTGGTGGTGGTAACTGCACAAGTCTGTTTCCTCTCCACATACCAGGCAGCCAGCTGCCATCTCAGCCCTGACTGGGAGCTTCTCGTGTTGTTTCCAAAAATAAAAGCCACAACCAGCCTAGGAAGAACTTTTCACCACGCAGATCAGAGAAGCAGAGAGGGCTGGTGAGACTATCCAGTCCACCCCCATCATTTGTCAGAAGAGGAAACCGAGACACATATGATGAGTCACACAGAACAGCAGAAAAAGCAGGGCAGAACCCAGCCCAAGCCAGGTGTTGATTCCTGGCTGAGAGCTGTTTCAACACAACAGGGTCCCCACTGCCAAGCTCCCTTTTCTACCAGACTCCTTGAACTCCTCTATACCCCTCAAAACCCAAAAGAATTACTACCTTCTAGAAAAATATTCCCCCAATTGTCCAGGGCAGCTGGTTGTTCCCTGTGCTGTTCCCTGCTCTATCTTCCCAGACCCTGACTTTGCCCCAGTACTCAGAACACTTTATGGCGAGACTACTGCTTCTCCATCAAAGTAAAAATTCCTCAACAGATGTGTCAAATTCATCTTTGCAACCTAGCACACAGCTTTAGCTAGGAAGGGGTGGACTTTGAAGCACAAACTCCTTAAAGGAGGGTTACCATCCTTCCCCAGCTCCGAGCTCACAACGTAGACTCAAGGTGGACTCACTTCTGCCTCGGAAGGAACATGAACAGAGATGTTCTGCAGCCCGAGGAGATTCTACTCCTGGAGCCATGGAGCTTTGGACAGACACCACTGGGAGGTGCCAAGCAGGTTGGGCTGACAAGCGGGTGGCACTAAAGACATAAGCTGCTGTCATATGTGTGTGGAGGCCTCCAGAGTTGCAAAATACTTGCCAAGGAGACCTCATCTGCATGGACTCTGTCACTGCTCTTCAGCCTTCTACCCGTGAGGCCTAGCTCTCCTTTTGCCGAGGGGACAGCTCCCAAGTCTGGCTGATCCAGACCTCAGGATCCTATCAGAGGAGGAAGGCAGGCTAAAAAAATATATAAACTTTTGACACAGAACTTGGGCAAAAACAAAGTAAGAGTAACTACAGCTGTGAAATACATTCTCAGAAAGTGGTCTGCTTGCTGGGCTCTGGGCTTCCTTAGGGGCGTTAGAAAGGAACACACAAAACGCTGGAATGTGGGATTCCATTCTCTTCAGTGTACTTTAATTTGCTTGTTTACACACAGGATCTGTGTATACATAACAGTGGCAAAAGCCATTCTCTAAATACAATCTGGTACTCAGACGATGACAGATGCACATGGAAATGAGTGAGAGACCTCCACAGAGGCAAAATACTCACGGCAGGACTCCGCCCTCAGATGCCCCCAGAGCCTTGTGTTCAGCTCCTGGGGACAACAGACACTTTTCACAAGATGATATGAGACGATTACAATGGGTGATCCAGACTCCAAGTGACCCCCAAGAGATGTTAGTTTCTCTGCCTTCTCTGGAGAAGCTAGAACATTCCAAAGTTGTCAAGAGAAAGGAGGTGGGGAGCTAATTGCCTACTAAGCACATATGGTCAGCACTTTAATACGCATCCCTTCCTCGAATCCTAACAGTATCACCTGCACCTTACAGATGAGGAAGACAAGGTTGCCCACATGGTCGCATGGCCATTGGGAGTGGTACAACGCAAGCCTGCATCCTATCATTCATGCCATGCCGTCTCACATGTGAGGGAGTGCATGCTCCTGAGAAGGCAAGGGGGCTGAGGGGACTAGGGATATAGCTCAGGGGTAGAGGGCTTGCCCAGAATGCGTGAGATGCTGGGCTCCATCCCCAGCACCGTGGAGGAAAAAGGTGTGGGGGGAGGCACCAAAAGTGAGCAAGTGGTGGAAGCCCCATCCATACACAGGCTGGGTAGGGTAACTGACAGCTCCCATAGGATCAATTTAGTGTTACGCCTGGATCAGACCACATGAGAAAAATGTCTGCAGACTGAAGTGTGACAAATGAACTTCTGGACAGAACTGTGCCTGTTCCCTTTTGGTGCTGAACATGAAACACAGACTTCAACCCCTGTGACAAGAACATGAAACAGAGACTTCAACCCTGTGACAAGCCCCTGCCATCTGTACCAGTCCCACCTCCCAGGGTATGGGTGGAAAACTCTAGGGGTGACATATCCTCTATGTTAACCTGTCACATCTTGCCAAAGCACCATAATGACAGCCATTGCCTTACCTTTTAATCAACTTTAAAGTTGACTGCAGCTCAATAGGATATGAAATACATATTTTAAATATCTTCATATATAAAAAGATTTACCCTGAAGATATGCTCAGCTCCTAACAAGCTAAGCTTGGGTCGAGTCAGTCAAGTGTAGAGCTTATTAGTCAATGCTATTATCTGGCCCCACTGGGAAAAAGACATCAAAGCAGCTTCATAGGAGAAAGTCTGGGAGCGGAGAGGGGAACTGTGTGTTGTGGGATGGAGGTGACAAACATCTATCCCTTCTCAGGATTCTTAGCAAAGGCACAGAACAGGGTTGGTGCCTGGGAAGTGCTGCAAGGAGGAAAGAAAGGTGAACTGAGTTCAAGGCCAGTGAACAGGCCCAAGTTTTGTGTTGCTCTGTGGATGATACAAGTAGGAGGAGGTGGGGCCAAGGTCACGCCACCTGTCTTTGCAAATAGGCTGGCTTCTTGCTTCAGAGGGAGACATTTTACTTCACTTCTAAACTATCATAATCTTGTCCAATAATAAAAATGCCTTGGGCCACTGCACAGTGACCAATGCACGTATCATATGACTGTACAGTCTATACCACTGACACATGGTCAGGAAAGCTCCGGCACAAATACACATTTTGCAAAATACATCAAATTATTAAAATGCCTGCTTTCCAGGTTTATTCTTAACAGAGGAAACCCCACAAGGTGGAATTTAATACTATAAGCCAAGAGTTTGGTTTGTAAAAACAAATTAGTGTTCTTAAAAAAAAAAAAAACCTCAAAACAATCTACATGGGCCAAAGTGTAGCCTTAAAACTGTGAGTGACTTCAGGAGTTTTGTTGATAAAGAACAAAGCCATCGTTGTTATTAAAAACTCTAAAGCATTCACTGACATTAGAAGAGAAAGAAAGAGTAAGCTTATTGCTCCAAAAACCAACATATAACAATCGACTATGAACACAAAATTATTGTTCATTACATAAAAATCATCCAGGCACCGCAGTTTAACGGCCGTTGGGGAGGCTGATCACAGCCAGGTACAAATATTCAACATTCCTCAGAGGAAACAGATACAACCAGAGAATGTCTCTCAGGCATCTGGGTGTTTCATAAAGAACCCTGTTGTAAATAAACACTTATGCAAAATCAACCAGGGGGAAATGCTGTCAAAATCTCAGCAATGACAGTCACTAAAATGAAGAGAACTAGAACCAGGGAGACAGCAGCAGAGGAGTCCTGCGGCTCTGGCCTCACAACGGATGGACCAGACAGAGGCTTTCTGGATTCTGTCACTTAGCTGAGCCTTATTGCTTCCCTCTAGGGACAAAGGGTCAAGTCCTAAAGTGCCTGATAGGAACAGTGCTATTTAGGACATAGGTGATGTCACCAAGAAGTCTGAGAACTTGCTCCCCAGACTCTACCCACCCCAAAACTGCCTGCAAAGCTTCTTCTCTGAAGTGGGGTAATTCAGCCAGTAACTAAACAAAATCTGTAGAAGACAGATTAGCCACTGTCCTACTTCTCCCCCTTGTTTCTCTTTTATTTCTTATAACTGTCTTGCTTCAAACTAGAGCTCTGTGGAGGAAGTCCTGGGGAGAATGATTTCAGATACCAACACCCATATGTCCCATACCAGCCCAGCAAACCAAACAAGGTACCAAACACTTTCTGGGACAAGTCATGGAAGTAAACGGCTGTGCACAGAAACATCAACACCCAAATGAAGGTCAGGAAGCCCAGAGCGATGACCAGGGTGGTGATGGCAGTGTGGAGGTGATGGCTCCGGTCTGTCTTCACCTCATGCAGCACAGCCATCTCCTCCACGATCATGAGGGCGCAGAAGGTCAGGAGGAAGCAATGGCCTGAGATGTCAAAGCCATACCAGAAGCCCCCTTCCCGGTGGCACTGCTGCTTGCTTTGGTGCTCCTTTCGGACCCCCTCTAGCGTGGGTGACTGGTAGCAGCTGCCTGTGTAATGCTTCGATGTTGGAGAAGAGGGCCGTGCAGACATACCAGATGGCTGTGCCCACGAGCAGGGTGCTCAGCCGCCGCAGAACCAGGCCAGCCTTGCCTGTCAGGTGGTAGTTGGTGAGGGCAATGAAAGGGAGGAGGAGACAGAACGTCCAGGCCCAGGCCATTTTGACAAAGTACCTGACAGAAGAGGAAAGTGCAAGTGAAGAGGTGACATGTCAGAGAGCAAACAACATCATGGCTTGGGTCTTTAGGCTCCCAAGGGAGGGGAACTGAGAGAAACCATTCAAAGCTGTGGATCCTAACAGCTAGATGGTTAAGTCTTTGTTATCTGCCTCCCTTACTAACTACTTTATTTAACCCTTAACTCCAGGAGGTAGCTACTACTGTCAGCCCCATTTTTACAGATAAGGCAACTGAGGCACGGACAAGTGTCATGCCAAAGTGGAGGACATAAGTGGTAGATCTGGGGACTGGGGGCGTGGCTCAAGTGGCAGAGCACCTGCATGAAGCCCTGAGTTCAAACTCCAGTACCAACAAATAAATAAAGTTAAAAAAAAATAACAAAAAACTAAGTCTCATAAAAAAAAGTGGTGGAGCCAGTATTCAAATCCAGGTCTGTGATTTTAGCTCTATGTTATTTACTCGGAAACCAATAATACCTGAGCATCGTCCCTAAGATATTTAGAGAAAAAATAATAATTGAGCATCTACCAATTGCCTAGCACTTTCACACATTCACTTTCCAGAGAACACTCCCAATTACCCTAGGCGGAACCGTTTTATAGATGGAATTTGAGGCTCAGGAAATTCAGTTCCTTGTCCAAGGCTATGTATTCAGCAGATCAAACCTCACTTTGCCCAGCAGCCCCAAAGCCCACACCCTTTCTTCCACACCACTGTTCTTTCCTACTTGGCACAAAAAGTTTCGCAACGAAGAGCTTTACTTCAAGCTAGAAGACCCGGGCTCAAATCCCAACTCTGACTTAACTTGTTACTCCACCTCTCTAGACTCAGTTTCCTTGGCTATTTGACAGAGCTGAGGGCACCAAATGGTTTTCCAGATTCAGTGAGTCACCACTAGTTTCCTCCCATTAACTAGCATTGTGTCTTGGCACAAAACACCAGAATCCATGGCTACCCCCAAACAACAGAGACTGGTGTGCCAGGTTTTTTGGTTTTTAGCTCACCCAAGCCAAATAAAGCAGCAGCTGCCTCCTCTGCCTTGCCTGTGCTCATGAAAGGTGGCTGACCTGGGGACCAGCAGCAGAAAGCACACTCCAAAGACTTGAGGCCACTACAACCCTCATGATCTATTCTTAGCCCAGCAGCTGAAGATGGGTGAAGACCAAGGCGGGCCAAGGACAGAAGCCTCTTTCCTAGTTCCAGTGGCTTATCAGCCACCACCCAAGGGCCTGTCACTAAAATCCTCACTAGTACAAATAACAAGAGACTTGGCAGAGCCAAGCAAAACCTGTCAGGCATCCGGCAGAGCTGCCTGGGACAGAAACCAGGGTTTTAAGCAGATACTCAAAGTTGAGCTGGAGATGCTACCTGCAAATGCTAACTCAGAATCATTTGGCTCACACCAGGGACTAGTTTCAGCCTTCAATTTCTCTTTATTGTCACAGCAGTGTTTTGTAAAATAAACTTACAATCTAGGAGTTAAAAAAGAAAGAAAAGAAGTGGTGGGCGGAGTTAAGGAGATGTCCCAAAGAGCCAAGCTGGGATTGCTGTTCTGGGACATTGCCATGCACTTTGGGCGACTTGAGGTCCAAGGAAATCCAGGGGAAAGGTCAGAAACCAGAGGGCTGCCTTCCTCTGCCAGCACGGATGGGGACTCTGCCCCAGGCTGGGAAAAGATCCACAGGTGGGGGGAAGGCGCGGGGGTAGGAATCCTTAAAAGATGATGATGGGATTCTTTCTCGGGGGACGGGGGATCTGATACAGGGTCTGACCCAGGCAGGCTGGAGGGAGGTGACATCTCCCCAACAGGACAGGGCACGGCTCCTCACTCCAAGGACAGGAAAGGCAGCCGCGACTCCGGCCCCCGCAGACGCACAGACCCTGCTTGTCACAGCCTGCCCGGTCAACCTCGGGCTGTCCAATGGGAATCCGAGGCTGGAAATGCCAGGGACACCAGCGACTGCAGGGTCCCCGCGCCCAGGGACGCGCCGAAGGAAGGACGGACCCCTCCCCTTCCCCAGTGACCCGTCCGCCGGGCTGCGAGCCCGGCTTGTCCTTGTCGGGGGCGGCGCGCACTGGGGACCCGGGCGCACTCACACGTTGAGGACGTTGCGCTTGTTGCTCAGGTAGCTCTCGGGCAGCGGGGACAGCTCCTTGAGGACCGAGCCCGCCAGCATGGAGGCCGCCAGCACCCAGGGCAGGTACCGCCGCACGGCCGCCCGCGCCAGCGTCCCGCGGAGGAACCACGCGCAGCGCTCCAGATGCTCCATGCCGAACCTCGTCGGCCACCGTCCACCTCCGGGCGCCCTCTCGGCCACCGTCTAGTCCTTCGCCCGCGCGGGCGCCGCCACTTCCATTGTGCGCATGCGCGCATCCCCTCCCTCCCCCCCAGGCTCCACCCCCTCGTGGAGCGCGTGCGCTCCCTCTCGTGGCCACGGGCGGTCTCTGCACCGCGCGGGTCTGCAATCCTGCGCGCTGGTCCTGTCCTCTTCCGTCTCCACCTCGCCGCCTAGCGGCGCGCTCTCAATACTGCATTTGGCCTCTGCGTCTTGCTCTGGTCCCTTGTGGGAATATTTGCAGATTAGGGAAGAATAAATGTAGCCCTGTAGGACTGGAGCAGTGGTCACAGCAATATTTAGTCTCTCTTGGAGAAGTGGAGACAGCTCCTCCACCTGGCTTTCTCATCTGTGAGACGAAGACAAGAGTTAATGAGCCTTTCCCAAGAACAAGCTTATAAACCCAGAGGTTCCTCATGGTGATCCAAGTATAGGGAAAGTAAATCCAGAAAATAATTACCAATTTTAAATGCTAAATCTTACATTTTAATTTTACCTCCAGTAGCTGTGTGTATTGAATGAAAATGCTGGGAGGTGGTAGGTAATGGAGATCACATGAAGTGAGGGTGACCCAGCACCCAGTTTATCAAGAGCTCACCCTCCACCCCCTGCTGAGCTGGAGTCTAAATCAGGGTTTCCCAGCCTTGAGTCCTTCCTTTGCCACTGTCTTAGTTTCCTGTGGCAACTGTAACAAATGACCATAAACTTGGTGGTTTAAGAAACAGAAGTTTATTCTCTCACAGTTCTGGCGAATTCCAAAACCAGGGATGCAGGATGGCTCCTTCTGGAGGCTCTGAGGCGGAATCCCTTTCGGACCTTTGTCCTGGCTCCTGGTGACAACTGGCTATTCTTGCCACTCCCCGGCTGTGTCACCAGCACTCCAGCCTCCACCTCCATCTTCACGTGGACTTCTCGCTCCTATTTCTCTTTGTCTTCTCTCCTGTCTTCTATAAGGATACTCACTGGTCATTGGATTTAGGGCACACCCTAAATTCAGGATAATCTCATATTGAGATGCTTAATTTAATTATGTCTGCAAAAACTGTTTCCAAAAAAGGTCACATTCTCAAGCACCAGGTCTTAGAACTGGACAAATCTTTTTTGGGTGTGGGGGAGGGGTCATAATTCAACCCATTGCAGCCACTTTTACTACTTTTGTCATGTTCAAATACCACCAATTTCATTGTTAACTTAACATTTTCTTTAAACAACGCACATTTTAAACTTGAATACCTATTGAATACCTGCCCAAACAAAATTATCCAGGAAATCCTGGACTCTGTGTGCCAGCTATGTTTCTTCTATACAAAGAAAACATTTCTACTGAAATACTCATCATTGCTGGCTGCTTAAAATAACCGTGTGTCCCTATACCGAGAATAGCTACCACAGTTTGGGAAACACTGATTTGTGCCTACCTGATGTCTAAAGTATCCTCTGCAGAGAATCAATAATGAAATGAAAAGTAATAGTTCCTTAAAATTATCAAAAGATGATTTCATGTCTGTAAATTGCATTTATCTGATCAGAGTTCTTCTATGGCAAGATGTCTCTGGGCCTTCAGATTGCTAGTTTCAAAAAGAAAATGCAACAAAAATTACACCATTTTGGCTTTTCATGCTGTGGAATAAAAACAACACGGCCAGAAAGGGATCTGCAGCTTGGAAGTAGTATCAGAAGCCACTGTCTGCTTAAGGTTGTCAGTGCTCAACTGACCTAGTGCTCAACTTGGCCTAGTGGGCAAGGGAGGAGGCCGGGTTTGAGTCGAAGCTCCATCACAGATTAGCTGGTGCTTCCCCCACTGAAAATCCAGGTGCTGTTCCCCAACCCAAGCAAAGGGGAAAGAGCACCTGGTGAATGGAAACCCTGGATCTCACCCAGAGGGGCCATTTTGAAAAGCACTTCCTCACAGTTGCCAGGATTTGCATTTCTGAAAAATAAAAGGAAATGTGTTTGTTTTGTTTAAAACCCTGCAGCTTCATTTCTGGAGATTTTTACAAAACAGATTAAACTCAGTCTTCAAAACCTCAGCAGGTCTCTAGAGTGGTTCTCATATATTTTTTAAAAAGGCTTCACCCCAAGCCAGACACTGATGGCCCATGCCTATAATACTGGCTAATTGGGAGGCAGAGAATGGGAGGATCCTGGTTCAAAGTCAGATGGGGCAAATAGTTCTTGAGATCCTATCTTGAAAAAACCCATCACAATAAAAGGGCTGGTGGAGTGGTTCAAGGTGTAGGCCGTGAGTTCAAACCCCAGCACTGCAAAAGAAAAAAAGTCTGTGATTCATAGGGAATTAAATTCTTCTAGAATAGAACCCCCAAAGTGAGAGTGTTTGTTTCTTTTAAGATCTCTTGACTTTCTTGACTTTGACAATGAATTCTGTCTGTTTTAAAGTACCTGTATCACTTGGTTAAGTGCAAAGAAGATAAAGAAGCATATAGCCTCCACTGTGCTCTGGCCCAAGCTCTTTCTAAACTGGGAGTCTCCATCAAAATTCTATCTAAATACACTTTATAATCTACTTATTCATTTATTTATTTTCTCTCTCACCAACTTGAGTTCAGCTCCTATTCACTGATGCACCCCGAGTGTCTAGAATGGTGTCTGACCTCCACCACGCATTCCAAAAATTTTTGCTGAATACATTTAATAACTTACTGTTGTTGTTGTTGGCAGGGCCTTGCCCACACTCTACCTTTAAACTACACCCCAGCCTAAAGAATCAGCATTAATACACTGATCTAAAGGAAATTAAGGTACTTATTTATTTATTTACTTTTGGTGGTACTGTTGTTTGAACTCAGGGCCTCACACTTGTTAGGCAGGCACTCTACCATTTCAGCCACTCCAGCAGTTCAGTTTTTTTGTTTTGTTTTGTTTTTATCTTTGGTAGGAGTGGGGATTGAACCAGGGTCTCACACGTGCTAGGCAACACTCCTCCACTTGAGCCCTGGTTCCAGCCCTTTTGTCTGTATTTTTGTTTTTGAGACTGGGTCTCAGGTCTCCATACCTTTGCCTAAGCTGACTTCAAACTCATGATCTTCCTGCCTCCATCTCCTTAGTAGCTGGAATTACAGGTGTGCCTCACCACACCCAGGTAGTAAATGAAATTTAAATTTTAAATTACTTCTTTCTAACGAGAAGAGAAATAACCAAAAACTAATGGCTATGCAAAGTGCTTTCTGGTCTATGAAGTCTGGAAGAGGCTGTGATGGGAGGATAGTGGGCTCAGCTGAGAATGCCTGACCCATGGAGAAGAAAGGGTCAGGGGAGAGATGATATCCCTCTAAGCCAAGGTCTGAAGGCTTGGCCAGGGCTGAGCTAGAGGAGCAGTGGGAAACCTTCGTTCCAGGAAGAGCCACCAGCAGCCGCCCTTTTGTTGGCTGGAATGTGGGAAATGTTCCCTCCAACTTGGGAGGGAGAGAGGCAGCCGGGTAACTCCCAGCCCAGAGCGCCTGGCTGGCCAGCAGGAGCTGGCATCTGAGCACCAGTTCCTGCAATGCCTCGCTTCTCATTAACCTCTGGCCACTCCCTGGAGTGAGGCAGCTGAGCAAAGCTGGTGTCTGCCAGAGGCTAGACTGCTTCACTGCCCTATGGGAAAGGGTTGTGCTCAGCCCCCAAAGCACACGCCCCAGACTTTCATTCATCATTTGGGCCCACCCCGGCCCAGGTCAGCAGGACCCAGCCTTGCTCATCCTCAGGCTGGAGGGACCCCAGAGCTGCCTTGATGAGCCTCCTGCTCCCTCCTCCTGCAGACTCCAGACCCTACTGTCTCAGGCAGTCACAGGACCCAGGGAGGAGTTGCCTGACTGCCTGAAAGAGTGTCAGTAAAACCAGAAAGAGAAGCAAGCAAATGGAGGTCCCGGTGTGGGGCAGTGACTGCCTGCAGGTGGAGGAGGCCCTGGATGGAGGGGTTTGGATGACGTAGGCTATTCTCTGCTTCTTTGTCTCAGAGAGTCACATAGGAGTGTGGTTTAAAAACAGTCACTAAACCATAACATATTTCATAAATCTTATCTATTTATGTTCCCAAAATGGTGTTAAAACAAATACATAAGCAAACAATAATAACCACCACAGAACAAGGCACGCCAGACCAAATAAAATGCTAGGTTCTGGGCATAGCCATTGTTGGATTGAGCCTTAAGGAAGTGCCAGGCTCTGGGCTCAGTGTTTAACTGCTCTTGACTTTTCTTCTCACAAGGACCCCACAAATGCAGAGGCACAGAAAGGCTAAGAAACTAGGTCAAGTTCACACAGCTAACAGTCCAGCTGAGATTAGACTAAGATTGAACAAAGGGTTTACCACCACCACCCCACAAGGTCTAGCATCTGGATGGAAGGGGCCACTGATCGCTGCCTGGGAACGCTAAGGACTCTCGTGGCCACAGCGATTGCAAAGCTTATCAGGTCACAGGTGATAGGGTTGCTGGGCAGTACATCAGTGAAGCACTCAGATGTGAATTCAAGTCTAGCCTGGGTGGCCCAGGTCAACTCACTTAAGGGGTTTCCTCCCTAAATAAGTAGGAATAGCGCGCTTCATTTTCTTATTTTGTTGGAGCACAATAAAGTCACCGCCAAAATAAAGATTTTGGGGGGGGGTTGTTTATGGTGGTTTGTGGGACAGTAAGGCATCGTGTGCGGTCCCCATTGAACAGATGGGCAGGGTGGCTCAGTCCTCAGCGGGTTGGCCGGAGGTCTGGGAGTTGACCGCGGCCCCGCAGGAATGTGCCGCGCCGTCCCGGGGCGCGGGTGGCCAGGCGTGGGGCGCTGACGCCGGGCCTTTTCCGCTCCAGCTGCGCAGGCCTGCGACGCAGCAAATTCCGCGGCCACACCTGGCTGTGCAGCTGCCCAGGACCAGGGCGAGGATTTCTTAGTCCCCGAGGGCATGGCTTTGACTCTGGATTGCAGGGCCAGGGCGAGGCGGGAGCGCAGAGCATCCCTCCCTCCCGGTCAGGGAACCGCCCCCCTCCTCGATCTCACCCCCTCCTCGATCACACC